CCCCCCCCCCCCAACTTGAAAAGCCGCACATCATAAAACTCGCTCATAATTTCAATATTTCAGATTATTATTTTTCCAGAATTGCAGCATTTTACTTTTATGTAATAGGCAATGCTTATTCATGATAGGCAAGAATAGTTTCTTGCCTGCAGTACAGTCTAAGCACTAATGAAAGCAGTTGTTTCCCAGGAAACTGAAGTTGCTTTTACAATGACGTGCAGTGACATTTCATCCAATTGCCTATTTACCTTCTCAGCAATCAGGAGGCTGAATACAGGCAGGTGAAAAGCTGGGTGTTACTATTCCATTTGATAAACTGTGCTGAAGAAAAAAAAGTGTGAGGGACCACTAGGTTTCCCATCCTGCAAGCCTCTTGGAGTCAAAGGATAGCAGTACATCTAGTCAAAAAGGGAAGGAAGTTTTCCATTCCTAAAGTACCATAAAACAAAGGAAACGGGAGTGTGTCGATTTTTATTTATAGTACTTTTGAAGGGAACTGGGGAGTAAAATTAGGAAATTAAGTGTCTGTGCTACTTGTGCAGACCCTAGTGTTTCTGTAAGTTTTCCTGATTGGCGTTATGTCTCCTCCCCCAGGCTTCCTTTGTGATTTAGTAACGAACTATCAAATACAATACTTACAATCCTCTCACCTCTTTCTTTTACTCCCAAATGGAAAAGCAATATGGATGATACATTAATCTGAACTAAACAGCAAGCATTATATTGTTACAGATTAATTTAAACCCAGTATTACATATAGATGTATTATAGCTGGAGCCGACAGAATCACCTATACTTCAAGATCCTGTTCTCAGTCAGCCGAGATTGTGTTTTCAGATTGTCTCAGACAATCCCTGCAATTACTACTTGCAACTGCTATGGGCTATTGCAGTGTCAGGATTTGGAGCAAATACCAGGCACGTCATCTCATCTGTGCTGTCAATGTACCCCTCCAACACTAGAATGCAGGTGTAATGAGAGCCAGGCCGGAAGTTTTATGAAAATGAATTAATGTGTGCGAAACATTGGCATACTAGAGCAGGGGTTGTCAACTATCTAGTCAGGGGGTTGGACTACATGACCTCCTGCCATCCCTTCCAACCCTAATTTTCTATGATTCTATGTTTCAGTGCTTCGGCAGGCCGTCTCCCAGCGCAGCTGATCAATATAGCACTTTTAACTGAAAATGGAAAATCCACAACCTATCTTCTTGGCAAAGGTTCTTCCTCCCTGCTCCAGGCTCTTGGGGCTGCACCTTTCTTCCTGTATAGCCCTTCTGCCCTCATTCTAATTGGATGATTTCTAACCAAAGAACAAATTCTAGATTGAAGAAACTCTTTAGCAATAAAGCTTTCTTCAATGGTATTAAATGGTATATTCATATACTTTAAATCTTCAGCAGAACTAAACCTAATAGATTTACATTAGGTAGGAACACCAGAAGGTGAAATATTTCTGGAAAAAAGAAACCAGGTGACAAGTTTTCCATTGGGTCAGAACCTTTCCCCTGGTCTTGAAATTGGGACATAACATATAGTAAGAAAAAGGTAGGCAGGAGAGACATGTAGGGGAGAAAGACAAAAGACTCCATACTTCCTTAAATGAGAATATAAACAAACTTTTAAGGAGCAACTACTTGTAGCATCTTCCTGAAGGATGTTTCTGTGGACAAACAAAGGGAATCCATGTAATGTCTTTTTCATAGGATGACCAAAGAGCAGATTTGCAAAATTTTCCCTGAAGTGACCAAGTCCATGTTCTGCCCCAGAATATCTGATAAGGAAGATGGATCTGATAGCTTAGCTATACATGCTGACTAAGAAATCTAGATACAATTGAGTGGCCGACTCACTCCTGCATTTATAATGCCATTTACCACTGATAATACATGCCAAGGAATTGTGAAATGTCATGAGTTCAAGTCTCAGCTATCCTGTTTAAATTAAAAAAAAAGAGGAACTGAACTAACTCAATATACTAAGGCCAATTTATCTTGGTCAGGTTGGAGAATTTTGTGTAAATTCTCACAGAGAATGAAGAGGGCATCTGTAACAGGCAATGGGTTTTGTTGTAATACTTACAGTTTAAATGTGTTCATGTTGTAGTAGTGCTGCATGTCTTCATTTCCCTGACTAACTTGTACAGGGTGCAAGAGGGGGACAAAGGTGGGGTTTAAGGGACACTGAGGCCAGAGTTACCTGGCCTACCTGACAAAAGACCTATTCATCAATGAAAATTTGAAGATGCTTGTTGATGATGATGATGCTCAGGAGAAGTTCAGGGAAGCTGAAGGAGATGAGCATCACAATGGATGGAACAGCCTGAAAAAACAGGGAGTCAACCTGGGATCTGGAGAATCTGAAGAGAATTCAAGAGAAACAACTTTGCTTCTCTGAGGTGCTTTGGTGCTGCGAAGACTGGAGAGAGAACATTTAAGCTAACTTAGGAGTGCTCAGGGCTGTGCAGCCTGGACCGGGGACAGAGGGACTGCTTAATCCTTTGAAGGGGGCAGGGTTGTCTTGATCCGTGGTCTTTGCCCTCAACTAAATGCCTTTGCTCAAGTAGGTAAAAAGTCCTTCTCTTAGGAGCTGAACTGGAAGCTAGCTCCCTGAGGCAGGGCTATAGATAGCCAGGGAGAGTTCAAGGACCAAAAGGTTAGGAGTTACTCCAAAAGCCATGCCTGAGCTGGCTTCAGGGCATACTCAGGGATACCAGACAAGGTTGGTGGTCCCGAGCAGGGGGGAATCCACGACAGAAGCTTTACTGAATTTGACACACAAAAGCCACACTGTCAGATTCACACAGACTGATGCAGGAACAGGTCTTGAGATGGACACCATGACTTTCTTGGCCAATTAAGGGTAACAAAAATAACTGCCACTTCCTCTTCTAATATTTGGAAGTGTGACAAAGAAATTACATGAAGGGAGAGAAAGAGGGACGCTCATTGCTGATTTGTCTATCTGGCACCCAGAGAATCACTTCCCAATGATTTTGCCTGCTTTTCTGAACCCAGAAGTTCTAACTGGATGTGTCTGACTTTTTAAGGGTAGCTTACTTCCATAGATCTTCAGCTGGAGCACTATTTTCTTCAGGGATGATTCTTAGTTGCCTACTGATATGGGCTTTGCTCATGTGTTTTTATGTTCAGTGTCCCTTTTACATTAGTTGCCCTGATACAAGCCAAAGGACCTTCCACCCAAGTAACAAACAAACAAACACACACACACAATTGAGCATTTCAGTTTGAAACTGCTTCTATCTCCTTGGTGTGTGGGTGTGTCATGAACACCGTGTTTGCTTGAATCAGGACTTACTTTCCTTAGCTGATGGTGGAAGTCCTGAAGTGCCACAGTGACCATAATTTGTTTTTAAAAGGTCCTTGGGAGCCTCCCTTGCCATGACCGTATTTTCTTACACAATATGATGCCTCAGATGCATTTCTGCACCCTGAAAGGCTGGCACTGGGGAGGGCTTTTTTTGGGATCAATATCCAGGGATACACTATTACAATGGCCTCCTTTCTCCACCAGCTGAAGGACAATCTTTACTTTCGTTTGTATCTCGTTTCTATGTTCCAGCAAATAATTCCTGAAGCTCCTTTACTTGCAGCCTTGCAAATGCCATAATTTCTATGCACAAAACCAAAGTCCTCAGAACTCTTGGACACGTATCACCTCAGGGATCAGTTCCTGGATTTTGCCAATTTTTTTCTGTATAGGACGAAAGGCTCTTTCTGCTTCTCTCTCGACTCACAGGTCATTGGCTCTTCAGCAGACAAATCAGCCAGCTCTTAGATTTTATGAACCCACATACCTAAAGGACTGGGAATCCACTCCAAAGTCATTTTTCATAAGGATCTTATCAGAATTTCTTCTGAACCAAGTTATACATAAAGAGACCATAAGTGTGCTCAGACTCCACATCATGGTTATTAGCTACAACCAGCAGCTTTGATCAATCACCATGCAAGCACAGGCAATATACTGAAGACAATATTTTAAAAAAATGGAGTGGAGTTTCTCTCCTACAAGACAGATGTGTCCAGAGGGAAGGGGGAAGAGAAGCAGGATGATGGGTTGGGAGGCTTTGAGATATATTCACAAAGAATGCCTCATTGTGGAAGACAGGGCCTCAACCCCAGACACTCTATAGGACTGATCTGGTCTAGCAGGGATCTGTCTGGAGAAGTTTCTGTTTGTGTGGGGAGACGAAGCAATGCAGAAGCCCCAGTAAGCCAACTGGGCAGATGTGCTCTCTCTTACAAAGTGAGGGTCTGAAAGCTGAGAACAACTGGTTTCCCTTTTGTGGTACCCAAAGGGTGTAAAGTCCCTTTCCAGACAGAACACAATGACTTTTTAATTATTGAGTTCATCCTAGAGTCATTCTGATACAAGAGGAAACAAGTGGAGAGAATAAGCTTCGAACGCAAGACAACGCCAGAAAAATTCATCCCCTAATAACATGTCACTAGGCAAAATGATTACTGCTCACTCTGGGCCCAAATTTGGTTTTAAACCCTAGAATAGTAACCAGACTAGGTGGAAGAGGCAGAACTGCTGGTCTACCTACATGGGCAGAAC